AAATGTTTTCATAATTACTTGGGGGGGGGAGGTCATCGAAAGTTTGACAGTTCTTGACAAGGGGGGAGGGGGTCAAAAATTTCGTCAAAATTGTTGACGTAACAGTAGTAACTAATGGATGACCCTTTGGATCTTACCTTTATAATGTAGGCCTATATATTTTTTAAAATATTTGTATGTGTAATAAATAATATATTATATATTTCTTTTTTGTTTTTTTCAGAAATTATTAAACTCAACAATGACAAGCATTCACAATCCCATAACTTGAAAGAAAATGAAATGACAGAATCTTCATTCAGCACTGCTTATTTTTTATTAAAATATTAACAATTTATTTCTGAGTTCTTGTGAAATCTTTGATTATTGGACTTGTATGTTTTAAATTATTTTTTAAAGGAGATTACCACTCCCTAATATATTATCTGTCATAGTTTGGAGCAGATTTTTTATGTTAGAGTACCAGTATATACATTATACAGCTATAGATAATTGTAATCAATATACATTTTTTAACCTTTTGAAGAGTACTACAAATGAGTTTACTATAAATTTTAATGCATAATTCAGCAATGATTTCCTCGGTAAAGGAATGTTGACAAAAATGTACCCAGTTATAAAGATGTGATTGAGCTGGAAACGATATCTAGAGACTAGAAGGCTTGGAAAGTAATAGTTAATGGCCTATGCTCCACTGGCAGTTATCAGACAGAGAAGTCTACTGCAATTTCTCCTTTCTAACTATCTCAAAACTTTTCAAAAAATTCTTCAAATTAAAATTTAAATGAGTCAAAAAATTATTTGGATTATTTTTGTCTTCTTAATTGACTTTTATTTATGAATGTGGAGTATATCACAACTATACTTGTACAATGTAACAGTATCCATCAGAAATGGAAGCTATTTAGTGTGATTATATCTCAACTGAAGGGTGCCGATTTAAATCTATGTTGTATTTAAAGTCACATTCTTCAACATACAAAAGGAGAAAAATATAGGTCTATAACATAACTCTAACAGAGTAATAGGCCTACTAAGTTTTATGTTTTTGTGGAAATATTTAAAAAGTAGACCTAAGAGATCGCCACAGAAAAACAATTTCATAATTGACCTAAAGTAAATAAGTAAATTTAATAATGAAAAAGTTGAACACTTTAATTTTAATTTCAGTATGGGGCATCTATTTGCTATGGTAGCACGGGGAGGGGGGGGGTTGTTTGATGTTGGTTTTGGAAAATTTAATTTCTAATTGTTAATTAGAGATCTGGAGCAATATTTTCCTTGCCAGGAGCTCGAGCTGGTAAAATTTCTCACTGATCCGAGATCCAGTTTAAATAACAGTAAATATTTCTTTAAACACTCAACATCCCTTCAACTCCTTTTAATTTTGTCGGACCTGAGCTGGGGATGAAATTAAATTGTCCACAGTGGAGTTCGTCAAAAAAACCTGCCCCTAAACAATTTTTGAATAATGTAAATAAACTTTATTAATGTTTTTATTCTTTATTACTCAGTTACTTAGTACTAAAATAAAACAAAAAGATGCTAGTCGGCACTCAAGATAGTTGACACACAGTTGTGTGGAGTAGAATTCCGAGAGTGAGTCACTTAGTTTAGACATAGTAATCCGTTTTAAAAAAAAATGTTTCTCAATTGCTGGCCTAGATAGAAACATTTATAGATAAAGTCGCAGATGCTAGCCGTAGCAGAAAGAAGAAAGTAGTAAAAATTATAAATTATTTATCATTAATATCATAGGTTTAAGTTCTAACTTAGTGATTAGTCACAATTAGAGACTAGCCTAGTGCTACAGACTACAGTTATTGTTGTTTATAAAGTTAAAAGCCTCTTTAAAAAAATAAATTTCAATTATATCATGCCCTACGCCCATTTATTTTATAACTATTATATTATATCTCTTTTTTTTTTTTACTAAAATAAATAAATAAATTCTTTTTTTGGAGTCTGCTGTTGTTTTGATAACTTAGCGTAGTCAATGTAAACACGACCTAGATTGATGAACTAATTTTTATTTTTAGTTTTTGTTCATGTGATATGGAGGTTGCGTAATAATACTAATATAATTTGCAATTTTATCAAATCATGATTTGAAAGTTGTGAAAAGGCTTCAAACACAGATTGCATCAAATGTTTGAAGGAGAATTTGATAGTGTGAACCGACCCTTAATAAAGGTGCACTCGACTATGGTGTTTACATTTTTGCGCTAAAACTAAAATACGAAAATATTAACATATTTTTCCCGGACGTCAGTATCAGTAGGTTAAAGTTTAACTGATTTGTGAAAATAAAAATAGCAAAAGTTGGGCGATTTAAAAAAAATATTTAAAAATTAATAATATAATATGAATTGCATTATTATCTTTTAAAGCCTTAGAAAATAAATAGAAATGATGAATTTCAGAGCTCAGTGCCTATAGCCAATTCTTTTAAAGTGCCCATGATTTCTAGAATGATAAAGAAAAACTACTCCATCATATAAATCTGCCATTGGGGATATGTGACTATTTGGCCATGTGCATTACATACTACCAAAATATGACAATTATATTTTCTTACACCGATTTTATTTACATAAGGAGAAAATAAAATCTTGAAGTTAAAAATATATTTGTTAAATTTACATTCAAGCACATGTGCTATTTTAACAGGACATACTCCTACATTAATTGATTTTGAGGAAAAATTATTTTCAAAAGTTGAGTCAAGTAATTTTTTTAGAAATCATGAATGTCTTTTTCAGTAACTGTTCTTTTTCAACATTAAAAGTACAGTGTTGTAAAGCTTTTTATATATCAATAGTGTACTATATCTAACAAATGACAACATCAACCCCCCCCCTCCCCTTTAATAAAAATCTCAAGTTTTTCCATGTCATAAAAATCAAGTTTACAGAATATTGTCTATGCTTCAAATTAAACCATATTTCTTTATGTTTTCCAAAAAACATTTTTTTCAACGGTACAAAACGGAGAATTTATTTGTATAAATGAAAATAAAATAGAAACAAACTAAGTTCATTTTATTTATATTGCTAGAATTTTTTTTTTTTAAAGAACTTTATGGTAGATTTCACACTAAACTATTGTCTCCTTTATTGCACAGACATAAAAGGAACAAAAAAATTGCAAAAAGCCTTTTTTAAATTTATTGATAGCTGTCAGTTTTTGCACGTTGTCTTTGATTACTCAGACATTATTTACAAATCATAATTAAAAAAGATATGACATTGAGTAGCCAGCTAATGACCTGATTGTGAATCAAGACACATTCAGACCTTTGCAAATTTTTTTTTTTAGTGCATAAACTGACATCATATATGCTTCTTACATAACAATAGCATATCATGATTCTTTGTTTTACAATCCCAACCTCTCACTTCTGGTACCCGGGTACGAATAGTCGCAGCCATGCTTTTATCCAAAAATTGCAGAATTCTCAATGTTTATGCAAAATAGTACATTTCAAATATGTAGATTTACAAACAATTTGATTTGTGAGATTTCAAAACCATATATGGGTATACAAATAAATTAAATAGTGAGAAGGCTTTAGCCATTGACTGTAGAACAATTATATTAAAATATAAACCACATTGTAGTTTATGTAGACAATTCATTTACTATTACAAATCCAGCATAAACATTTGGCTTGAATTAACCTTTGAATATTGATGTTAAAGAATGAGGTTTTAGAATCTAGTTTATATTAAACCAATTAACTGAAATCTACAATATTTCAAAACTTTTAAAAGTTTTCCCATATTTGTAAATATTTTAGGTTATATCCCATGCCTCCCCAGCCTACCTTTGAAAATAGTGAGTATGAACTAAGAGACATCATGATCATCTTTGCATAATTAAATAAGTCTTAAGTTTGATGTGTTTGTATAGATCCTCATTATTTTTATACTAGTACTGCACAAATGAGTAAACTACATAAATTCTACTTCTGATGGAACAAAAGTGAAAAACATGAAAGCATCTTTATTCAATGGATGATAATAATTGGATGTATAAACAGCCTAATAATATTTTTTAAATGATGGGAAATTTTGTACTTCTGTATATCCATGAAAGTGAACTAACTAACACACTTTGGAAAATGTGGTTTATTTTTAGTTTCCTTACACTTACATTTTTTTTTTTTTAATTCAATGTCCATGACTTTTTATTGTAAGTAATTTATAGTTTTCTGTTGGCAAAATTATCTTTTTTCATGCACTGGAATAGGAGTCAGTACCAAAAACTCAGTAGGCAAAGTAATAATATAGTTTCATCTATGAATAAAGTCGATCAGAATGCATTATGCTGTACTTCATGAAAATGTTCATGTCAACTTGAACTTATAATTTTTTAATTATTATTACCTATAAATTACTCAATAAAAACAACAGCACTTAAATATAAGTCCAAGAACAAAATTAAGTTACAAGAACTGTTTCTGAAATCATTCTGCCATTTCTATTTAATAAAGGCACATAAACAAAAGCAATACATGGCCTTGCAGCAATGTAATAATAAAGAAATGTCCCTAGATTCACACATTCAGCAAAGATTTAAGTTCAAACATAACTAATTATAGCACATTCATCAATCGTCATCATCCTCATCTCCTGGTTTGTAGTCCGGATCATCACTCTCATCATCTTCATCATCCAATTCCAGATCCCCCATGTTCTCAAATAATGACTCGTCAACTTCCAATGTGTCTCCCTCTATAAGATAAAAACATATTCATTCTTGAACACACTAAAAATTAAAAATATATTTAAAACCAAAAAATCCAGAAGGCTTTAAAAAAATTATAAATTAAAGAAAATTGTTAATATCCCCAGCTTTAAGGGATCCCTGAATGGGGAAAAAAATTATATCAGCTTCATTATTTTTTATCAAGCGATCAGCCCTGTAGGGGCTAGAGTTTATTTTGTTTTCTGTTAGCGCTGAGTGGGGGGACCCAAGCCCTTGTGACGAAATCAAGCTGTCATCCAAATTTCAATATATCTAAAACATCTTCTTAGAACGTCCTCCCTCTTTTTTTGTGTTCGGCATGAATTATTCCCCTTTTATTGTCGTTATACATGTGAATCAGTAACATTTGAGGAGTGGATTTTTGCCACCGGTGAGCTGTTGTTAACCTGTGGAAATTTTATTATATATCTAAATGTTAATTTCTTTGTTCTCAGTTAGCACATGATTTAGCCAATGACCAATTATATTAAATCCACTGTAAATCACCATCATCATCAGTGGCGCTACAGCCCATGGCGGGCTCTGGCCTGCTCCACCTCATCCATGGCTTTCCGTCCCAACTGGTGTTAGTCCTTCTCTACATTGTCAACCAATTTCATTCTTGGTCGAGGGGTGAGCCATATTCCTGTATGTTTTTGCATGTATATCACTTTTGCTGCTCTACGTTCCAACATCCTTTCAATATGTCCTGTCCGGCGCAGTCTGCCCTTTTTTTATTGTTGCGACTATGCAAGGGTCTTTGTACAATTGATATGGCTCTTGGGTTTTACAATTCTCCAAAAAAAATTGTCTATCACTGGACCATATATTTTCCTGCGGATTTTCCTTTCCTATGTGTTGAGCAGGTTCTCTGTTTTTCTGGTAAGGGACAAAGTCTCACTAGTGTAAGTAACTACAGGTCTTATGATAGTGGTGTTTATTGTCTTCTTTGTTCCCCTTTGAGAGGATTTTGCTTCCCAGTAGCTTTCTTAGGCTAAAATAGGAAATGTTGCCTGCTGTTATCCTTACTTACACCTCGACATACACCAACTGCACTTGGATTACAAAACAGCATACAATAGCGTAGACAAGAATTACCTAAAAATCCACTATAAATACCAAGATAAAAGTTATAAACGGTCTTTTAAAATTGTCACACAAAGTTAGCACATTTAACTTCACATATTTCTGAAGCCTGCCATTTCAAAAACCTAGCGAGTTGGTTGAACATTTTTATTTCATTACTTTTATTTGAATGCATTGTATTATCATGTATATAGTTTGGTTAAAAATTAATGTATGATCATTCCACTGCAAATGAATATGTTTAATTCCTTGTATTTTATATTTTCTCAATGTTCGACATTCATCTCCAAAACGGACACATGTTGGCCATTTTGAGATTTACTCATCTAGACTTCATCCCATCTCAAGGATGATAATGCAGCCATTGGAACTTTGTTATCCAACAATTCTTTGAATGTAGTAAACTTATATATGCTTTATATTAAATTATATTTATAATTCACTGTATTCTTATGTTTGCAAAAAATCATTGGCCATACATCAACGCTTACCATACATGCTAGAGCCGGCTATGGTGAAGACGAATAAGGTTATCTACACATGGATATTTTGCATCAAAAGCTCTTATCTCGTTCAATAACTCGATCTGAATTCATTGTTGTGCGAAAGGGATCTGTTAGCTCAAGAATATTGTAAAAGTTGCTCACTTCTTTTTCTTGTATCATTCACATATAGCCTGGTTATTATATAACTGTATTGCCCAAGTGCAAGAAGTCAATGCACCTTAGCAGCTGGTTTGAGGATCAGTTCCCTGAGGCTGGATTCTAAGACTCGGTCCAGTATCCATCCGGAAGACCAAGCTGTTAGCCTGCATCAATAGGACCACATACTGATAGGACTTTACATCCACGACAGACACATTGCTGGGAATTCCACACACACATCACAACGTACTGCCACGATGTCCACTTTCTTTACCGCACTGAGAAGCCATTAAGGAAAGTAACGGAGAACCCAATTCAAGAATTGAAGTGATCTCCCAATTTGAGTGATCAAGCCAGATCAACAAAGACCATTATAGATTGATAAGTAAAGTCTTAACTGTCCGATGGCAAAGAATTCTGATACAAAGCAAAGTGACTATTATGATGAATTTTAGGCATTACGGGGAGGCCAATATACATAATGTAATAGAACCTAGACTAAAATTATATGAAAGTTGTTTTTCATATCCTTAGCCATAATAGATTATATTTGGATAGTTGTAAATAAATAAGTTCATTTAATTTATGAAATTGTGTAATGAAGTCTTTGATAGTTAGGTATAAATGAATATGATAATTATGTCTCTTAGTACCGGTACATGAAACTGATATAACATAAAACTCCTACACAAAAGCAGTTGTGAAACACATACAAGAGTTGTCCCCTCACACCCACCAATCAGAGTCATTTCACTCCACCCCTACAGAACTGTCTGATACAATAAGCTTCACTAAGATTAATTAACAGATCTATGAATACCAGTGCACAAAAGTAGAGGGAATCTATATTTTTATAACTCTGTTAAGATGAGTTATCAATATCAGAATTCTAAAAAGATTTTATCATGACACATTTTAAGAAATTAAATTTTAACACATTTTATCAGGAAACATGGTAAGTTGTAAATTTACAATACTGGTACAACAGCATGCATTATTTTTCCATTGGTAAATTTTCAGTTAAAGTGAGATTCTACTAAGACAATCCTTTGGCCAATAACCCAGGCTGAATATTCAGCATTCGGAATCTATTTATTTCAGCAAATTAAAATTCCATTTACAAATTTTTGTGATAAATAATATTACGGTATTTAAAATTTAACAATACAATTTTTAGAGGGAAATGTATATTTAGCCCCATGAATCCAAAGAAGGTAATTTAACTAAGAAGTTAATTAACTGGTTAGAAATCTTGTATCTTGGGTGATGGGTTGATTCCATAAAAGAAACACAACAATGACTAAGGCTCACCATTGGTGCACCATGGTCATTATCGGTTCTTAATAACAGTGAGTAGAAACTAACATCTCCAGTTGAAAACCAGCAGAACCCTAGCACCCACCAATGAGCTGCACACCCTTACAAAAAAGAATGTTTAAATACCTGCTTGTAAAAACTTGACATCAGAATCATTCAGAGACTGGTCTGCAAGGAAGAGTTCTTTACCTAAAAAATAGTAATAAGAGATCAGAATTTTTCTATATTTGCAATTTAAAATAATTGAAAATTTTTGAAATTGTTTTTTTTTTAATGATTTTTAACCAACTTTAAAACAAATGATACTGATTTTCAATTTTGCTAAAGGTTCAAGATGAAATATACCAAAATTGTCTCATTAAGGAGATTAATGCAGCCAACTTCCCAAAGCCAACAACAATGTTTGACAGCGTTTTTTCACAACCCAGGTCATGCTACTTTTACCTGTTGGCTTCTTGGCTTGACCATCAGAATAGCCTTTTAGTCTTCTCATTTCTGCTCTTTCAGCATCAAACTTTAATTTCCAGACCATAAATGACTCCACATTGACTCGCGTACCTTCAAATCTTTTCTGTAAATCAGAAATTACCAATTCATAAAAAAGACTTTGTTAGATAGCCGGCTTTACAAGAGGTAAGAGAAAGAATATTCCAGATAGTTCTTTAATCAGTTAAAACCGTATTTTATTGACTCAACATGAGTATCCTAACCATAAAGAAAATAAGACTTTGTTGACAAAAATTGCTTATCTCATAAAATACATTTCTCTTAAATATTTTTATAATCTGATGGAAGTCATGTAAATTCACTAAAGACTACGGTACTGATTTGCAATTGTTCTTGAAAGGTAATGATATAAATTTAAATTTCTTATTTATATTATAGGTTGGAAAAAATTTCTTTTATTTTTTAATAGAATTGCTAAAAACTACACAAAATTAACATTTAAAATCATTTTAATTTATAATGCACACACTCGTTCAGCTTCTTCATCTGCTTTCTTCTTCCTTTCAGCTGCTTCCTCTTCCTCTTTTGCAGCTTGCTCCATCATGCTTGTCATTCTTTCTTGAACTGCTGAGATGATTGTGAAAATCATTGCCATCCCTAAATTTTCTTGAGCCTAAAAAGTACGTTAAAAGCATTACGGAAAATTCAGTCATTACATTTATATATTTTATATATATAATAAATTAATACACAAAGAACTAACATAATATAACATTTAAATTGCCTTATTTTCCTTCAAAATTAATAGCAAATGTAATAATATTATTAATATAAACTTCCATGGGTTTTTTTTGGTGGTAAAACAAAAAAAATGGACAAAATTAAGCACAGAAATCTAAAATATTAATGTTAGCAGCTAATTCCATACTTGTGTTTTCATAAACTCCATTAATAAATCTTGCTGAGAATAATCCATGTTTTCAGTTGAATCTAATTCCATAATTGGTGCAGTGTCTGGGTACTCTGATGTGTAAGTGAACTGCAGCACTGCAGACACTGGCATTAAAAAATAATAATGATTAAAAAACGGTGCTAACTTTTTGTCATAAAAAAATTCTTAGCATCGAAAAAAGTGTTTAGCCAAAATTAAACAGCTTTTTATAATTAAATAAAAAATTTGCTAAATTCCCCACATTATTATCTCGTTTGGAGATAAATATTATACCGGTTTTAAATGTGTGTATTTTGGGGAGAATAGCAAACTACAAAACCATTTAAATCTGAAATATAGTCATCTTTGTTGGGAAGCCTTGATAAACAAAAGAAATAAAGTGATTTCTTTAAAAAAATGGATCCAAATGTCTGCTAAAGTACAAGAGTCATAGGGTGCCAGTTATCCGGTTTTGAATTAGGCAGTCCGGTGTTTCAGCTGACTGTCAGCAAAAAAATATTAATAAATACTGGGGACAAATAATGATGCAGACAGTTGATGTCTGAAATTTGTCATCAGGCTTCATAAGACTATGATACGGTATTGTTTCCTGTCTGCAACCACTGACTGGAGAGTCTGATCCTATCAATGCTTCATTTTCTGAGGTGGATGTTGAAGTTTTAGCATTTTCCCTTTGTAATCTGTCATTAAATTCCCTGTTTGACAGCTAGATGTCAGTCAAAAGGGTCTTCACTACAGCCTTCCTAGTTGTTGGCATGCAAGCTGACATTCATATCTCTCTGCACACATCCTTGTAATAATAATAATAATAATAATAAAGTTCATTTCAAAAACACGCTTCATCCCCAAAGGCTCGAAGCGCGGTACAAAGTCAACAAAATACAAACCTGCAATTGATCATGTCCAGACCTCTTTACTTTACAAGTTTGATCACACTTGTAGACATGCTTTTCTTTCCTTACTTTAAGGTTAAAATTCCAGGCTTGCTTTTTCTATATGGTCATAGAAGTTTATTATAGCAGGAGAAGGTAAATCAAAGGTAAGTGATTGTTCTTAAAAACTTCAATGTTAATGACGGTGAGAAGGGTATCTACTTCTTGCCACAAGACATATTCTGTCTTCTTAAGGCTGATGGTCAGTCCAGCATTCTAGCAGGTGTGAAAGAGGCTATTTACAAAATTGTGTAGTTTTTTGGGTTTTTTTTGTGAGTGATGTTTACGCAACATAATTAAAGAAGAGCAGTTCACAGTTAGAACCTTTGCCACAAAGTCTCAACATGGCAGACTATGGTGTTGAACCGCTTTAGTGCATTATACAGTAAGTTTTATTCACAGTAATAAGCTTACATACTTGCATGATCTGGAAAATTTTCAGCATCTTGGGGCACTACCTTCATCTTAAAAATATAAAATGGCTCTTCTTCGATAACTGTAATTGTAAAGAAAAATATTTTAATAGGAGATTTTAAAATTAAAATACTGTAACAAGCCCTACTTCCTCAACCCCCAAAAGCTGGCAGCAAAGCAGCATGCATGGAACTCCCATACAATACAAAAGCCCAAAGCTGGATTGTGGCGACATTATCAAAAAAGCCACAAGCCTGTGAGGAAAGCCACCAATGTCCAAACTTCCAATGAATGGGATGATACATCAACAGCCTTAGACTACAGCCCTTCCCACCCAGCGATTGAGTCAGATTTTTATGGTTGCCATGAAATAAGACTTGTTTGGTATCTGGAATGAAAAAGCCCTATCGATCTTAATACTAAGGCGTACTTAGCCTATTTTGGTGTAAAACCATATTTTAGTGAAGTAAATTCAATACAAATGACTTGAAATGAAATGTGTAATTTTATTCTATCCTTATTTATTATTATATTTTTAACTAAATAATTAACTTACTAAGTTATTTCATAGCTTATAATTTATATTAACAATTATACAAAAACTCAAATTAAGCTCCAGCCACCTTTTGTATTTTAAGGCAACATTTTTGGTCGTATCAGAACAGGCTTGGATTTTATTAATCATATTGAGAAATAATTAATAAAAATAATTAAATACACTAAAATAAGATAACCGACTTTATATACATATATATATATATATATACAGAAATACATACACATATACATACACACATATTATTATATATATACACACACACACATATATATATAAAAGACAAAATTAATTTATTAATTAGAAAACTGTGACGTAGAACGCAAAAATCCAAGTTCGCCATAGAGTGATAGAGTATATTGTAAAATGGCCAAAAAAAATTTCCTATCAATTTCGACATTCGTAGAACATATGCCAGAATGAGCTTCCAAATACATATAAATATAATGGATATATATACATTTATATTCCTTTAATTTACAATGCTAATTATATTAGCCTAATTTTAATATTAATATTATATCTGAGATTACCAACAATGAACAATGCGGGTCAAGTACAACCCAGGTTGAGTTTAATGCTGGTTAAGTACCGGTACAATCAATCATAATCAATGCTATTCAATAATAAATATATTAATATGGACCATGGAAATCATTCAATCACATCATAAATCAATGCCGTTCATGAGCCTCAACTGTCAACATTCAATATATGTATAATGTATATGGTCAAAATATGGTCGCAGAACTGATTAATTTCAGCTATCAGTATCAGCTAGCCTATGGAACAGAGGTTTGACTATTAGTAGTAGCAGTAGATAATTTATGTATTGCTTAAGTGAGAGTAATATGCTTAAACTAAGTCAATAATAATTAATATAATAATGTGATGGGAAAAACATTCGTTTTTTGTTGTTTTTTTTGGTATGGTTCTTACTTTCAATTTCATCCGGATAAATGGACTGCAATGCTTCGATTTCATTTCTCTGCTCTTCCTTGTAATCTGTCATCCTTTATTATTGGATCTTTAAAAATGTATATATTAAGGAAGAAAGCCAACAGTTTAATCCGATAAAATTTCTCTACCACAAAGAGAAAATAACATTATGAAAGTAGAAACATAAACATCAGCAGTCACAACGGTACAGCATGCAAATGGAATCCATATTGGTTCCGGCAAAAACAAAAATTTGTGAACTGGTTGTTGATTGGATACTTATAAATATTAACTAATCAAAATATATTTATTATTTCGTACATTCGCTGTGTTTATTTCCGGTACTTTCATTCAGAAGAGTATCTCTTATCGAGATTGGTAGTTTATTAGCTGTTAATGAAAATTCTAAAATCAAAGGCGAGCAAGGGTGTAAAGTAGTCAAGTAATGTCGAGACAAGCCAATAGAGCTGGAGACCCAAGGAAAGTGGTTGGTTTTTTAAAAGTCTTACTAAATTAATCATATACGCCTATTGACTTCAATAATAATTCAATTGTCAATATTATTATGAATATATAATATAATATATGCCACACCCCCTCCCCTCTCGGTCATCGGTGTACCCGGCCCGAAAACTGGGCTCGGCTCGGTACTCATTCATGGACTGAAGAAGGCGATGCAGTTATGGACTGATGAAGTGGGGGCTAGAAGTGGGCTAATTTAGAGAGCTACCACCCTAACCTCATTTGCATGTTGTGTCCCTGGTTCCAATAGGGTCAAAACGCTGGTTCCGCCAATAGGGTCAAAACCTAGGTTAGAGATACAGATAAGTATAGGGTTCATGTTAGGTTTAGGGATGGATTTAGGGTTCAGGTTAGGTTTAGGGATACATGCAGGACATAAGTTTGCGGGTCGCTGCAATCAAGATGGCGGCCGTGGTGCTATCTCTCAAAATTTACCAAGAAGTGTGTAGGCCCTACTAAAATCATAATTCATATCATACCAAATAAATCTGTATGCAACGTTTTCCAAAGTCTAAGACTGTGATTATGTGTGAATCTTTTCTTTCACTCATTATGATTAATATTAATCAAATCCCAAATTCGTTAAAAGGCTTAAAAGTTTAAAAGGATAGGAGTTTTCAGTTTAGGCACTTTGTTATCACCCAGAAACTCCTGAAAATCAGGTATTTGAATTTCGTTGTCAAAATGGCGACCTCCACGGTTTAATTTACAATTAACAAAGGTATCTTGGTTCACCTTTCTATAGTTGATTTTTTAAAATTTTTAGCATAAAAATAAATTCAACATCCGCCAATTACTTAAACTTGAAGTCGACATCTTGCTTGTTCTATTGAGAATTCATTTTTGTTTTCGTGGTTATAGTTTAAGCGTTGAAAATTGAAGTTGAAAATAGGTAAACTTCACTTTTCTTTTAAAAAGCGCAAATTTTATTTTTAAAAAGTACTTAGTTTTGAATATATTTTTTTTCTCTAATGTACTATTTAGACATTTTAATGTTGATTATTTTCATTCAATATTTAAGTTTGTACAATAAATACATTATTTTAAATGCAACACAAGTGATGGGAGTTATTGAATGCTTTCAATTTTTACATATTTCAGAATGGAGAGTTATTTACATTGACCTATGGAGCACTTGTAGCGCAACTAATTAAAGATTATGAAAATGATGAGCAAGTCAATAAACAGTTGGATAAAATGTAACATATTTTAAAAGTTCTTTGGATTTTTTATAATAATCTTTTACAATGATAGCAAATTATGATTTTTAAAGTGTGTCCTATTTTCACATCTTTTCCTCGCATTGCTATTATAATCAAAGGTTTTTCATCTAGTAAAATTTTCAACTTTGCAAGATGGATTCACATTATGTTTTAGTTATTCATTTTATTGCCAGGGGCTATAATATGGGAGTGCGCTTGATAGAGGACTTTCTTGCTAGAGCCAACACTGGAAGGTGTAATGATTTTAGAGAAACAGCTGATGTTATAGCCAAGGCAAGCTGTCTTTTCCTAACATGTATCAAAACCAATATCAAAATATACTAATTTTTAAAGTTTAATGATGAACTCCATTCACAAAAAAATTTAGTTTTAATTTACAAATGGAGAATTAATAGTTATTACATAAATACCAGACACAGCAATAATAAAAAAAATTATTGTACTTTTGATTGCTCTATTTAAACAGAAAATACCTTTAAATGTAGTAAAAACTAACAACTGTAGATGCTGAACATTAATTAATTTTATTTATTTCAAGCACAGGTAGCATTCAAAATGTACCTTGGTCTAACTCCAGTTGTAAGTAACTGGAGTGCTGCTGGGGATGAGTTCTCCCTTTTGTTGGAGTCAAACCCACTGACTGACTTTGTGGAACTTCCTCCTGGTCATGCCAACCTAAATTACTCCAACCTAATGTGTGGTGCCTTGAGGGGTGCTCTGGAAATGGTATGAACATATTTATTAATATGTTAAACTTTTTATCTAAGAGCATCTGTGTTTTTTAAACATGTATGAAAGTTTAGGGTAAACAGTTAGCATCTTTAAAGGTAAATTGATAATTTTGATTTCTAATTAACTAATGAGTCACACTGGCTATTTCTGGCGATCAGTTGAAAGAGTAATTTTAAAAAAAAATATATTATTAAAAGCAGATATCTTGTACCTGTTGTTGATATTTGTTTTTAGTTTAAAAAATGTCTATTTCTTTCTAGGTTCAGATGAATGATGATCTTGTACATTTAGTACTAGTAGATATTTAAAAAAAAATAATAATGGATTTTATTCCAGGTTCAGATGGATGTTGATCTTGTATCTGTAGTAGATATTTGTTTCTAATAAAAATGTATTTTATTCCAGGTTCAGATGGATATTGATCTTGTAAATGTAGTAGATATTTGTTTTTAATAAAAATGTTTATTTTTTTCTAGGCTCACATGGATCTTGTACTTATAGTAGATATTTGTTCAAATAAAAATGTCTCTTTGTTTCTAGGTTCAGATGGATGTTGATGTCAAGTTTATACAGGATACACTTAAAGGAGACAATATCACAGAAATCAGATTGAGGTTTATCAAACGTCTAGAAGATGCTGTTCCTGTAGGGGAAGATTAACAAGAGAAATTATTTAATATTTACTGAGCAAGGTATGAAATTACTAAGTAGTGGTGAGACTGAGTGACAGAAATGTTAATGGGATATATGGGATGTCTGGGTTTGATTTGAAAGTAAGAACTAGTTATGTACTTTGCTTCGTATTTGATAGTTTATCATTTCATAATTTTGAAAACATTTTGTTTAGTTTGATTGTTCCTTATTAAAAAAAACCAAATGTTGTATAAATTGCAAAGGTTAATAATTATTTATACATACATTTGCTCTATCTGTTGTTCCTCAATGCTATTAGCTTTATGAAAATTGATGCATTTGTTAAGTTCTACTTTAAATAAGGTTGAGGGTTTTATAAGTAGTTAGCTCTTCAATGGGTTGTTATGCTCTAATTGTTTGTAGTGGGAAAAATTTAAATGAGTCAAAATGAAATTGAACTTGATTTCAGTAATTTTAGTGCCTGTATGTATTTTGTTAACTTTTTAATGATTGCTCTGAGATGAACAACATTTGCAAACATGTTTCAAATTTTTTATTTTATTCTTGGATTGATTTACCATTTTCTTAGATGATAAATTTGGTTTTGCAAGAATTGGAAGCATGGTTGAAAAATTCTTAAATGTCGTTTGGTACAACATATTGCTCTGATTTTAATAGCATTGTTAGGGGCTGCTGTGGTGGATGGTTTCTCATTACAATCCATTTAATAATTGGCTGTGAAAATGTTGAAATATCCACATTTTATTGGGCCCTTTTACTTTTATATGTTTTGTGTTCATTTGATTTTAAAATTAGAGCATATTATAGAGATGGGACCAGACATGCTTGATTGGGGCTGTTAGTAAGTCATGAGTTTGAATGTTCTTTTATTTCTTATTTAATTATGATTTATTTTTTTTTAGATGAATTGATGTAATAAAATTTCATTAAAATGATGCACAGTGTTTTCAACTCTCATTTATCATTCATGTTTTTGGTTTGATTTTATTTAATTCAAGTAAAGTTGTGTTTTTTAAAATGTATTTTTCTTCTCCTCAATTTTTATGAAATAATTATTTGTATTGTAATGTCTTATGTCTTAAAAAGGCAGTTGTGTGTGCAGGCTAGTCCCTTGGGGTTATACAAGCTAGTTGTTTGAAGTCATGCAGGCTAGTTCCATTAAACAAATTATTCCCTTCAGTCTCTTTTATGATTGATCCTGCAGCATATGAGGGTAATCTTATCTATCCAAAAGCAAACCTGTACACTTGCTGGTTGTACAGAGTTAGTATTTATCAAAGAAACTGTGCCACAAGCAGTTTGTACACTTGCCTGTTGAGAAGAGTTATTATTATTATCAACGAGAACAGTGCCACTAACAGTATGTTATTTATAATATTTTGTTGTTGACACAGTTCAGAAGTTTGAATAAATGTGAAATCTATGTCCAAAGTTAATTGTTGTTGGTGCTTGTGTTTCAGATTTAAAAGACTACGGTATTGAAAATCAAAGTTGAAACATTTATTGGTTGATTTACATTAATGAAAAATGTTAAAGCTTTGTCCTGACCTTTCATTAATTCTATAACATACAAAGGCAAAGTCTCCTCCACCCCTAAAACAATTAAAATAAATAAATAATTTAAAAAAAAAACAAATGATGGAAACTTACCACAATGGGTATGACGCTAACCCTGGATTTAATTTGTTCCTTTTTTTAAGGAAACCGTTTCTGTTAGCCATAACTATTATCTAGAGCAGGCCTGCACAACATATGGCCCGCCAGCAGCCACATTGTGGCCCGCGAGGTAACGAAAAACTCTTTACTCTTATTATTTTCTTAATAGCTCCCCCCTTGACATATTTTATTTTGGCCAGCGCAAGTCCTGTCCTATTTACTTGTGGCCTACACAAGTTTTTCATAATGTATTACGGCCCGCCTTACATTTTGAGTTGTGTAGGCCTGATCTACAGTATTAACGGTATCAATAAACCCAAACATTTACATTATAGTTAGAAAGTACTCTATTTATGAGTGTGATGATATACATACAAGTACAAGTCTTAACATTTTTAAATCCTTTATATTAAATTCACTTTTGTGTGTGTTTAGGACAAAATTTTCGGACTGCGAATTGACCCACTTCCCGTCAACCTATCGATCTGAAACTTGGCACATTTGACAACATATTCTATCAAATTTTCAGCCCTAGGCTACCCCCCAAACGCAACGACCGAAAATCAGTTTTTCCTCTTTTTCAATTGGAAGATGAAGGAACTATCATGCCACTAATTTCACGAAATAAAATTTCTGATAACTGCGTTAAATCAGATTCATTAATATATATATATATATATATATATATATATATATATATATTTGGTAGTCCAAACTAAAATTTTCTATCCATAGCAGACATATTATGTGGTGAGTTTCACCTGACAGAACTTTTTATTCTAAGATATAGGCCACTTATTTCATGTAGATATCTCAATAAACAAAAAAGTTATGCGATTTTCGAATTTGCTGAAAATTGACCAAAAATGGATTTTTTTACCTTGTGAAAAAGTGCCATGTTTAAGGACCTATATTTTCTAAAATAATCAACAGAGAAGTCCAGGAATTGGTGTATGTGCTCCAAAGTTTACAATATTTAAGCCCAATTTTTTTCAAGCAGCCAGATCTATTAATTCTTAAGTTATTAAAAAAATAACAATAATGATTTTTAGTCATTTTTATTTTCCGACAGGAAAAGTGTAAAAATACACATTTTCAAAAATTTGTTAAAATTCCTGTTATTGACTTACTTAATATGTCATACATCAAATTAAAGATAATTTTAAGCAGAACAACATGCAGTATGCCTTAACGTCATCAATAAACACTTAAAGGCACTAAAATAAGTCTAAAAGCGTTTTTTTTTTAAAAATTAAGGTTTAAAAAATGTGATTAGAAAATGCATTTTATCACATAATTGTGATAAAATCAAAGGAATATGATGTCAGATGTGTTTACTATTAATTAAAAGACTAATAAAAAAAATATCAATGCAGAGTATTGTCAAAAATATAAAGCAATTGAGCATAAATTTTAATTAAATTGTCNTATATATATATATATATATATATATATATAGCCTATTCTGCAAGTACGTTTGGTGCGTGATATTTATTTTGGTTTTCAGAAATAGTGGGTAAAATAAATCTGCGGTGTAAAAGCAGGTGGCCGTGGAACACTAGAATATAATGATTATAAAATTTAAAAAAATAAATAATGCATACAAATGGATTATACGAAAAACTTTGTTTTTAGGGTTGTTTAATTAGCCTTCGTTATCATCCTTGAAGTTGAACAGTTTGTAATATTGTAATTGTAACAATATAATATACGCCTACTTTAAAAATAATTTTACAGTATTAATGATGTGTTACTTGGTCCACTATCTTTACGATTTGGCTTGGTGCTGTCGTGTTAGCGAGAAAATCACTTAATTTTCAACTTTTAATTAGTATATCAACATCATTTTGCGAACGGCAACGGTCAGGGGAAATCAGCCTAACTAGATCAGGCCTAGGCACTCTCATAATAATTAATGTAGGAAAAGTTTCTAAAAAATAATCAAAGACGAATCCCATTTTTTAAAAAAGGATAGTCTTATATTTATATTATATCTGTACCGGGAATATGTCAATAGTAGTAGACTAAAATTATAATTATAATTTATAGGCAAACTATTTAATCCTTCAGCAATAATGGCAATTCAGCCTATTTGAATTCAATAACCATTATGATTATTTCTGCTACTGCTTAGTTAATTTCTTTCTTTAAAAAAAACACAACCGAATTATGGCATAGGCATAGTCAATTGCAAATTATTAAAATTAAATTATTATTAATTTTGGAATTAACAAGTAATCAAATATCATTAAATAAGTAAATTATGATAATTTTTAATTACTTAGTTTATTAAAAGTTATTGTTTTCAAACGCATTTCTGAATAAGCAATTAATTAATTAATTTGTCTAGGAAACGTGCAAGTTGTTCTATGTCAATTGTCAATAATCATACTATACTATAATTAATGGCAAACATTGAGAAAAAGACCAATCTGTATCCGGAAATAGAACCCTATACTATGATGATGGCTTTCTCAAGGTTCTTATTGGTTTCCCATTTTTTTTAATAACAGTAATATTACTTTAATCAGTAATGAAAACTAAAAATGTATGAGATCATCTAAAAATAACCCCTTTTTTAATGTAGTCTTTAGCTATAACATTTTGTTTGTCATAATCAAATTCAAGGATTATGATGTCAAAGATATAGAAAATTGGTGGGCCCATTTTATATATTTAATTTATCTAAATTTAAACCATTACTTATTGACAATAATATTTCTCACTGTCATTAGCTGAAATTGATTATTATTTTTAAAATAATTTTTTTTCAGGTATCAGACTTACATGTAATATATTACGAGCAGTCTGGAAACAAAGAAGGCAATCCAGTTCTTTTTCTGTAATTATGTTTTCTTAGGATGGGTTGTAGTTGTAGGTGGTTAAATTTAAAAAAGGCATTTTTGATCATATCTTTCCTTTAATTTTAATGTTGCACTTGAAATACCTGGTTTTACATTAGTTATTGTGTTAGATGCATTTTAAAAATGTGAATTATTCTTTTTCACAGATAATAATTTACTGATAAAATATTCTTATCATTAGAGTCATGGAGGCCCAGGGATGGGATGCAATCTACCTATAGAGAGATGTTGGTTTGATCCAGCTTATTACAGAATTGTACTTTTTGATCAGAGAGGAGCTGGCAAATCTATTCCATCAGCTGAAATAAATGTTAAGTATTGTTTTTGGACTAAAAGTAAATTAAATAACCATTTACATAGTATTAATAGCAGTATTAGAAGAAGACATAGAATATGATAAATAAACTAAACTGGTTCAAGAGCTTAATTCATGTTGATATTAGTAATAAGGAGCAGACTATTCTAATCACATTTTACTTTCACCATGAGTTATAGTAAGTTATAGAATAAGAAACTATTGCTACTAAAATGTTATAATTTTCTTTTTTTTTAAAGAAACCATACCATTGTTGGGCCTGTGACATAATAAATAGGCTTCCTTTTAATAATATTCATTTCTTTAATGATTGTAAAGTAGCCATAACACATCTGCTGTGTAAAGTAGTTACTCAGTGATGTAGAATGACAAAGACTTGTGATATTTAAAAAGTGCAAACTATCCAGAGTTATAAGTTAACATAATAATATATCTACATTAGTGCAATTTTTATGATCAGGAAAATACAACATGGGACCTTATATCAGACATTGAAAAACTCAGAGAACATCTGGGCATCAAGACATGAGTTTTGTTTGGCTGCAGTTGGGGATCAACATTAGCATTGACTTATGCCATAACACATCCAGAAAAAGTCAAGGCCATTGTTATACAGGGCATATTTCTATGCACAAGGTTAAGAACATCTCTAACAATAAAATATAACTTCTTTTTATAACTGTACAAAATGTTGATTAACTTTTAACAGTGCATTTATCTTTTCATTATTCCATTCCTGTGGTGCTACAGCCCATGTAGGGCTTTGGCCTCCCTCACCAATATTGTGGAACATTTATTTATAAATATCTGGCTATAATTTAAATGTAAATTGTGTCAATGAATTGCTTTTATACATATTTCCAGGAGAGAGATTGAATGGTTCTATCAGGATGGCTGCAATATGATTTGGCCCGAACTGTTTGAAGACTTTTCAAGTTTTATTCCAGAGGTGTTTTATATTATTTCTTGTTTAATCCATTATATTAATACTAAGATTACCTGTTAAAAAAAATTATTTGCTGTTTATTTAATAACAAATTGATTTTTCACTTTTATTATTTTAATACAGTTTTAGTGAAAAATAGAAATTATATATAAAAAAAAAATATTAATAACCAATCCATCAGTATAAGTAGGCCTACTGTAAGGATAATTAGTGGCTATTCCACAATAAAATTTACATGGTATGTTGTGTGCAATCCATTGTAGACATTATTATACAGAATCAGCCCCTGTCCCAGATATTGTAGCTTTGAAATTAATAATTAGAAATGGCCAGTTATGGCTTTATTATTTTCACCCCCATAAATCAGGCTTTAGCAAGCTTATTTTTAAAAAAATCTATTATGTTAAGCAAATATGTCAATGATTTTCTACTGATTTTAAGAATCTTACAGATATTTATTTTAAATGAGAGCATTTATGATTAATTATTAAAATTAAGTCACCCATTTTTTACAAAATGTTGTTGGTCATCACCGATCTATTATGATAGTACCTATTATATACCCTTAAAATGGAAAAATCTTAAAAAATCAACAGATCTTTATATCCCTCATGAAAAATGTGCAATAATAAATACCTTAAAAGTAACTATTATTTTCTATCATTTGCAAATATAACCTCATATTTAGTAACATAATATGAGCAAAAATCTTAAATTCCTGGCCTGCTGTGTTATTTTGAGACCAAGGCTATTCAAAAAATGTACCATAAGCTTAGAGGGAGATGATAAAATGTTTTTACTCTGTTTTTGTTTTTTCTGTTTTATGCCATTATGCTTATGACTTTCCTAGTCATCAAGTTTAACAGTTTAAGAAGGGTTGGAGGGGGTGGGGGGCGCTTGTGATATTGCAGTTGAATAAGGCTTGATTGAACATACTCATGAATATGCCTATAAAAACTGTGTGAACATGAATTGTATGGAAGTCAAGTATAAGTTTAGTAGCCTCTTATTTGATAATTGATGCATGCAATTAAAAGGTTATTAATAAGACACGAACAAATTGTGTCAATAGAACAATATGAGTTAGCTTTAATAATAATTGTACAATATACAGAATTAAACGTTTCGGCACATGCCTTCATCAGTACAAACAAACACAACACATTTAAATAAGTATAAATTAAATTTACATAATGTCAATATATATATCCTACCTAAAACAGAAAAAATATAGGAGAGGGCGCTTAAACGTGACAAAAACAAAGTAAAGAGATGTAGAAAGGAAGTGATTCAAACAAAGAATTAAACGTTTCGGCACATGCCTTCATCAGTACAAACAAACACAACACATTTAAATAAGTATAAATTAAATTTACATAATGTCAATATATATATCCTACCTAAAACAGAAAAAATATAGGAGAGGGCGCTTAAACGTGACAAAAACAAAGTAAAGAGATGTAGAAAGGAAGTGATTCAAACATAATTGGAAAAACCAAACAGGAAAAAGACATGGCAGCTAAGTAAAACTATGGATTTGGTTCAATCCATATGGAGACAACGTACCAAATCTAGTTATTAATTGCAGTCCAACACTTTTTATAATTAATTAAAAGGTTGAATGTTGATTGAAATCCTTTGTATTGAAGAATATTTTTATGCAAATTATGATAGATTTTAATTGTTTAATTTCTTAGACGTTAATGTTTTAAAACACATTTCTGAATAAGCTTTTAATTAATTTGCCTTCTTTCTTCAATCACAATTCTTAGTATAGGAGGGGTTCAAAGTTACCATCTAGTTATTCTTGTGAAAAAAAAAACATTGAATTCTTAAAACTATATATCCACTCACTAATAAAGAAAGGGACAATACACATGTTTACCTCAAATGTTTGCTTCCCCAATTAAAATTTAAAATAGTTTTGTTAATTTTTTTACATACAGGGTGGGCCAATAAAAGTGAGAACATTTCGTAGCGTAATATTTTACGAGATGTTCTCACTTTTGTTGGCCCACCCTGTATATTAATTTATATGTATATTAAATACAAACAAGTGAAATAAAAGTTACTTTTGATATTTATTACTCTATTTTATACAAACAATGTTAATTTATGAGCTTAAATTCTTCTTTCAAGAATGAACGGTCAGAAATGATCAAGGCTTTCTACAAGCACTTAACATCCAATGACCAGAACACAAGCCCGAAGGCTGCAGGACACTGGAGTACATTGGAACTTGCCACATTACGACCCCAAGTTGATCCTGAATACCTAAAGAGTGCTAATGATGAACATCTTTGTATAAAACTGGCTATAATTGAATGGTATTGGACTACAGATTTAAAATTAAAAGAATTCAATATCATATTTTAGTGATACTGTATGTGTAGAATAGTCAAGATTTTTAAAGAGTAAGAGCTGAATTTGATTAGTTAATAATATTTGGTTCAAAAATATAGTTACTAGTTTACTTTTCTTTTTTGCCTAGGGGCCTACCATGTATACAAATCTGTTTAAAGAAGTAACACTCTCATATTTATCTAAGCAATTGAGGCATATTACAAAATAAAAATCCTACTTTTAAAAAAGGGAAATGAAAAATACCAGAAAATTATAAAATGAAACACGAAGGAAGGCACCAAAATTTTGTAGAGGGAAAAACTGTGATTGAGAAAATACAAATATAATAGAAATAGAAGAACTGGCAAAAAAGATATTTGTGTGGGAAAATTATCTCAAGGTAAAGTAGAAAGAATTGCTTCCAATCAAGGTCCCACATGCAGTGGTGTAGGAGGGGTGGTCCACCCCAGGTTGCACTTCTTTTCTTTATATGGTGGGGCAGCATTTTCTGCCAACTGAAGAACTTTCTAGCCCTAGCTACGCCACTGCCCACATGTGTACAGGTATAGATGGGGAACAGATTGCGGAGAACAACAGAGTACTTGAGAAATAAACTCAACTATTTGATGAAATTCTTAATATCTCAAAGGGAAGAGCCAATGAGGATTACAAAGTACCACAAGAAGGACCTGATCCATTGATCAGCCAACTATCTTTTTTCTTCTTATGCTTTTTTACCCCATCTGGGGCAAAGGCCGTCCACAAGAATTTTCCATTCATCATGGTTTTGTGCTTTCCTTTCCGGTTGCTACCATGTGTATCCCATATTTTTCGTGTCTGCTTCAAGATTGTGTCTCCATGTATTCTTTGGCCTTACTCTCTTTCTTTTTCCCTGTGGATTCCATGTTAGAGACTGTCTGGTGATGCAGTCTTAGGGTTTTCAAGAGTATGCCCAATCCACCTCCATCTTTTCTTTGTGATGTCTTTATCAATGGACACCTGGTAAGTCCTTTCTAGTAGATCTTTGTTAGTGATGGTATTTTGCCATTTGATGTTCAAGATTTTTCTAAGGCATGTGTTAATGGAAGTCTGTACTTTCTGCATAATGCTCGCTGTTGTTTTCCAAGTTTCTGCTCCACATTGTAGAACTGTTTTTGACATAAGTGTTAAAGATTCTGAATTTGGTTAGCAGCTTTAGCCCCTTCAACTCTCATATTTTCTTTAATAGCACAAATGCTGATCTAGCTTTTCCAATTCTGGCCCTTACATTTGCTTCGGATCCCCCATTTATGTCGATGGTGCTGCCTACTATATCTTAATATGATCTTGGCCATGAAAAATTATAAAGCCCCAGGGAAAGAACTTATCACTGCAGAACTGATGAAACTAAGTGAAAACAAACTACATATACAAATAACACAACAAAAAAAAAGAGAAATATATCAGCTGTAGAAAAGACTCAAACATAGTCATGGTTAATAAAAATGGCAGGCTGTGCTGGTCAAGAATTCTAGCTTATAGAGGGAGCAAAAATGGTTTACAGACAGAAACCAAGGGGTTTCAGATTGAGACTGAAATTGATTGATGATGTAGAGTCAGAATTAGATCAGCAGATATAGACAAAAAGACATTTAATTGTTTTTCAGTGGAGGAATGTGATGAAACAGTCCATAGCACTAAATTCCTTTTTCAAGCAAACCTTTCAATAAGTTTAAAGTATAAGAATAGTTTGTATAAGTCTCATTGCAGAGTTGCTAAATTTAAATTATGTAATCCTGAAATTACTATAGGCCTACAATGAATATATTTTCACTTGATTTTAGCCATTACTTCATTAATGGAGCATTTTTTGAGTCTGATTCATGAATTCTAGACAACGTCAAGAAAATACAGCACATTCCAATTACACTAATCAATGGCAGATTTGATGTTCTTACACCTATGGACAGAGGCGTAGCGTGGTGGGGGCAGGGGGGGGGGACAGATGTCCCCTGGCGCCAGCTAGTTAGGGGCGCCAAAATGTGCTTTGGTATTATTTTATTGATGAAAATAATGGGTTTGAGAGTTGAAAAAAAGAAAAAGGGGCGCTAAAAATTGATCTTGTCCCCGGGCGCGAATCTTGTCCCCGAGCGCCAAACACCCTCGCTACGCCACTGCCTATGGAGGCAGCCTGGAAATTACATAAGGTATATTTAATCCCTAAATACTTTACTGGGAGCTGTTTGCTTCTCTTCGTTGTTTTAGATATTTTAATTGAAAGAATGTTTTAAAAGTTAATCAATAGAATAGTAACTGTGTTGAAGTTTTTTGGAAAATAATGGAATTTGGCAGCAGCTGTTTTCCAAGTTTTACTCTCTTAAAAATACCATAAACCAGCTTTAGGCAAAGCAGGGCAGTATGCTCTCCCCTAATTGGGATTAAGAACTATTTTTAGTTGTTGAAAAGGAAAAGATACTTTATTACTATAAAAAAATAAAAATAAAAATCCAACTCTGTGCCATTTGGTTTTAAAATGTTTTTTTGATTTGAAACTATTTTACTCTATATTTATACTTAAGAAGAACTGGGAACATCTTAATTTAGAGGCCAAACAGATTTTAATCTCCCCCTACAATAATTAGTATAGACAAGACTAATAAAGCAATCTTATTTAATCTTTTTCAACATTCCAACATTAAGTATAAAAATAATTAGAGTATCAAATTAAATAAAATTGTTTAGATAATTTTACAGTTGTATTCATTTATGAAAGTCCTGAAATAATTTTGGACAGTGAAACGTTGATACCGGTATTTATATGATTTTTTCCCCACCTATTTATTTTGACTAGGCACTACCACAATCAGAGCTTGTAATTGCGCCTTTAGATGGTCACTCTGATAAAGACCAAGATATCAGATCTGCTCTATTGGAAGCTACAGAAAAGTACAAATACTTATGAATTTGTGCAATGGCATCATGAAATAGTCACTCTGATCAATTTTAAGTCCAAGATATCTGCTTTATTGGAAGCTACACTGGCTGCAGGACGAAGATATCAATATCAGTCATAATCAGATATGCTCTATTTGAAGCTACAGAAATGTACAAATACTAATGAATTTTGTATTCAATTATTAATAATGAATTGGATGAATAATTACATTTTATTAATATTATGATTAAAAAAATTTAATTTGAATTGTAAAAATTTTACAATTTGTAAAAGATTAGTTCTCTTTTCTGTTATTTAATTTATACAGAAATTTGTTTAGTCTTCAATTGTAATGAATGTTTAGTTCAAGTTACTTTGAATTGCACTATTTTAAATGATTAATCAATTCTCAATAAAATGTATGTAATATTTGGGATTATCGAGTTTTATTTTTTGTTTGTCATTAACTATTATTAGGTATTAAGGAATGAATCAGTTTTGCTACGTTTATTTATATTCAAAGTCCCATGATGCCTCTCGAAAGAGCTCTTTTGGTTTATGAAATCATACCTTTATTACTCATCAACAAATATGGCGACCACAAACGGAATTGCTTCAAGCCCAACTGGAAGTCAGAATGCAGCGAATTCTGGAAGCAGAAGAAATCAGGTCCTCATCAAATTATAACTGTCTTGAGAAGGTTTATTTTAATATGCGAATTATTATAAAAACTTACTTTCCATTTCTAGCTATTAACTCTTTCTCTCCGGAATTAATTTCCGTGTTCTGACAGAATAATCAATTTTGCCCATTTGTTACCTACTACTATGATATCTATAAACCATCATAACTTTTTTGTTTTTCATCAGAAAATGTTAAGTTTGGTGTGGAATTAAAGAGGAATGCATGCTCTTTGCAAACAATACAGACTTTGGTTTAAATTTTAATATATAAATGTGATAATGAATAAGATTTAAGGAAAATAAACATTTTGATAACTTGAGAAATCTCCCGGGTTTCTGCCATCTTGGTTGACACAACCCGTTAATTCTGTCACTAAACCTAAACTAAATGTATCCCTATGCCTAACCTGAACCCTAAATTGATCCGTATGCCTAACCTGAACCCTAAATCGATCCCTATGCCTAACCTGAACCCTAAATCGATCCCTATGCCTAACCTGAACCCTAAATCGATCCCTATGCCTAACCTGAACCCTGAATCGATCCCTATGCCTAACCTGAACCGTAAATCGATCCCTCAACTTAACCCAAACCCTAATTCACTGCAACTATAATAAACATGCAAATGACGGGCAGGGGATGATACTCAACATTAACCCCAATGTGTAATAAAAATTTGTTTTTTTCTGAACTATATCCATGTGTGCATCACAAATAATAAAGATCAACTTAAAAAAAAGAACAAAATTAAACACTAGAGCACATTATCCATTGTCACCGCCACACAAAATATTTCCCAAAAAACTATTTCCACTGGAAACAATCTGTTGCTATTAGAAAATATTTGCATTGTATCCTTGTATGTACTAACATTTATTATGATAAATGGAAAATTTACCATAAATTTGGTATATCTTTTCATCTGGGTTTAGCTATGGTAAGGCTGAAAACAATCCATATGGATATGCGGACTTGACTCACATCCAGTACAAACATATGCTATACCAGTACAGTTTGTCCTGTTCTATGTTTGCACACTGTCCTTTTTGGAGCTAATAGGCAAATGTTTCGCTCTGATAAGTCTTGTTGGAGTGTTGATTTTAATTTTGTAGGAAGCATACTCATTTATTGAGAGTGCAAGCTTGTGAATAATATGTGTCAGCAAAGTAAAAAAAAACAACCAGTCAGTGTCATTTGACTATCTATTCACAATACAAGCTCCAAATTTACACCTATAAATATATATATATATAACAATTGATTTAAAATTTAACGCAAGCATATAATTAGTTCAAATTCAATAAACAAGTTAATTTTTTTTTCTTTGTCAGGATCATTATGTTAATAATATTTTTCTTCTCTTAAAACATTTTTATTAGGTTATGGTTGGTGAATTGCCCAATGATTTCTTACGTACTGGTCCACAATTAACTCAAGAGCAGGAAGATGAAAGAATTGCAAGAATTTTACAAGCACAGCAACAAGCAGGTGTAAATGTTGTCTCTGCAGCTAGCTTTGTTGGAAGATTGAGTATTTCTGTTGTTCAGGTAATAATGTCATTGTCTATAATTATATTAGGAAATTAATGCTAAATAATTTTAGACGGTAGTAACTTATTATTTAGTCATTTATCCATAATAATACCTTGAGATTGAGTGGATGGTATTTAAAAAAAAATAGTTTTAGCTTTGTTACCAGTATAATAATTATTTTGTCTTCTGATTTTCAGGCAAAGCTCATAAAGAACTATGGCATAACAAAAATGGATCCATATTGTCGCGTACGCATAGGTCACACTGTGTTTGAGACTCCGACAGCCTACAATGGAGCTAGAAATCCAAGATGGAATAAAACTGTGACAACGTAAGATTTAAAAAAAAAATGGTTAATTAGGCTTGACTAAACACTTGAAAAGGCTTGCTAACTGTAGAATGTTAAAACATATTTGTGTAATGTTTAAATTGGTTAGTTTATAATTTTTATTTCATGAAATTTTCTGTATATTTTTGTCAATTTGAATTATATGGTACACTTGGTAAGCCTTACTTTACTCTATGTCATTCATCTTTTTAGGGGAAAGAGTGCGCTTCCATTTGCTCATGCACTGGAAAGTTCTCTGTCCTGTGTAAGCTAAACAGTCCTGAAATATAAATATTTTATTTTAAAAATTTACATTGTAACTTTGTCTTTTCTTCTTAGTTATTTGCCTTTCGGGGTTGACTCAATGTATTTGGAGGTATTTGATGAGGTAAGGCATTAATATTTAATTTATTCCCATCTGTCACCGGACTCGCATTGAGTAAATGTGACGTTCATGGTTAAGGAAATAAAGTGCAATGAAATATCCCCCCCCCCCAAGTCTATCAGCACATTGAACCGATGCGAAAAAACAAATATATAACTAAAACTATTTATATGTTTATATTATATATATATATATGGAAAGAAGATGAAAACTCTTAGCTTTCCTTATTAAAATGACACCATTACAGAAGTCTCAGATAATGTATTCTTTGATTGCTAGTGGTCTGTGAGGATGCATTTGGGTGCTTCCTTTTGGGACCCCCAAATAATATATTATTTAGTCATGACTGATTGATAATAAATACAACTGAATAGCTAAATTATTATATAATCCTTATTGTTTAGCTTCGGTCCTTCCTCTTGCTCCTTCCTCAATGTCTGCCTCATTAACCTAGTGCTGAAATGATCAGTCAATGACATGCTTCTTAATGGGAACAAATTATTTTCAAGCGATCTTTCACAATGGATGACCGCATTGCATGGGCACACATCAATATCCCGGAAGCAGTGATGACTGGAGAGACTCTGGATGAATGGTTTCCTCTTAGTGGCAGACAGGGTGATGACAAGGAGGGTTCAATAAATTTAGTTTTGTCACTGACAGTAAGTTCCCTTTTTTAAACAGCGCTGCTAATTATCCATTTTTTTTTTCAACATATGTATTTTGCTTGTCTACACATAAAAGAATTTATTTCATAGAAAATAATTCAGTATAACCAAAATCTATTCCTTTCTATTATTTTAAAAAATTTTTGCTTTTAAATGTTGTATTGTTTTTGGAGGAATCTTTTTTCATTTTTCTAAAACTGTCAAAGTTATCACTCTTGAATATCTTGTGTTATATAATTTGTATGATAACTGTGCCACAAGAAATCACTCTTGAATATATTCAGCTATATTTGTATGAGAACTGTGCCACTAGATATCACTTTTGAATATCTCGTGCTATATTTATAACAGAACTGTGCCACTAGCTCTTGAATATTTTGCATTATATTTTTATGAGAACTGTGCCACTAGAAATCACTCTTGAATATCTTCTGCTATATTTGTATGAGAACTGTGCCATTAGATATCACTTTTGACTATCTTGTGCTCATGGGCGCCCGCAGGTAGGGGCAAGGGGGGGGGGCACTTGCCACCACCCCCCCACCCCCCTGGATTGATTGGATAAAAATTTTTTAGACAAAAATTAGACGAAAAATTGATTAAAGTTAAGAGAAAATAAAGAGAAAGTAACTAAGCTGATGTCCTGTCCATTCGTTCACCATACAAATACGCTACAGTAAATTAAAACTATATTAAAACATTACTTAAAAAATTTTGCCCCCCCTGGAAAGTTAATCGATTTTTTAAAAAAATTTTCCCCCCCCGGAAAAATTATTCTTTTTTTTTCCCCCCCCCCCCCCCCCAGAAAGTTTTCTGCGGGCGCCCATGCTTGTGCTATATTTATAACAGAACTATGCCACTAGCTCTTGAATATCTTGTGTTACATTTTTTTAGCAGGCTCCTGTTGAGAACAATGTGATTAGCTATACCTACACCACCCCTGTGCCTATGATGATGCCTATGTACTACCCACCTCAACCTCAAGGCACAATAGGCTACCCACCACAACCTCAAGGTACAATAGGGCTCATTATTTTGAAGTTCTATACATGAATGCAAATTAATACTGGTACCCTACAAAGAATCAGAGATTCAAAAACCACAAAAAATGTTTGAAGTACACTTCGATGCAGAGATGGCTTACCAAATTAAAGCTTTAGCTTGCTTGTGTCAGAGCTTGTGAATTATGCAATTTCTTGATCTTCTTAAAACTTAGAATAATAATTATTTTCATTCATCTAAGTACACTGGTACCAACAATAACTCTTTCATAATTGAAAGTTATTTTTTTGTTCTCTCCGCATAACAATTTTGTCTTCAACTTCATCCTTTTCACAGCTGTTGTTAATGTATAACACAAGTTGTTCTTTTGGGATTCATGGCCATGCGCACATTCACAAAAAAAATTATTTATAAGACCTTAAGTGCATAAAATAAAATAACAACTTTTTTAAACCAGGTGTACTGTAGGTTAATAACTATTTTAAATATGCTTTCGCTCTCCCTCAGCCGGGTGTATTGTAGTTTATTCCCTATTTTTGATAAGCATCCCCCCTCAGCCACAACTTTACAGTGTTGATTCACCTCTATTCAGTAATTAATATTTCATAGACTAATTAGCTCAGCTTTCTTTCAGTGATGGGACCTATGCCAGGTGGCCAAATACCTGTCTATCCCCCCCAACAACCTCAGGGTCCCATGTATACAGAAGAAGATTTAAAACAGGTAACTTATTATTTCTACAAATTTCAAAGGTGCACACTTAAATTGGGCTTTCAATGAAAAAGATTTTTTTTTTCCTGTATTAATTTACAATTGTTACTAATCATTTTTAAAAAATGAAAATGTTATCAAAGTTACAAGGATAGTTAGATTGGTTGGTTTGGGTTACGGTTACAAGGATAGTGAGATAGGTTGCGTTCGTAGAGTGTGTAATAGTCTAAAGAAAACTAACATCCAAGTATAATTATTTTTGTCCTGACAGGTGAAGGATATGTTTCCTAATATGGAAGATGAAGTGATCAAATCTGTGTTGGAGGCAAACAGGGGAAACAAAGATGCAACTATCAACTCCTTGCTGTCAATGAGTACTGAGTAAGGTGTTGCCACCTGCGTCAACAATGTCAATACATTACCGAGCCCAAAGGTGTTGCCTGTATCCTGATTCCAAATTTTTTTTTAAAAACAAAATTCAAACATGCAAAATACTCTTGAGATTTACTTTTATGAAATTAAGCATTGTTTTTATATATATGCTTTCCACACAGAAATGTATAAAATTTAAGTTTTAATGCTTCAATATATTTAAAAAGTATGTTGAAAATATGCATAATTATGTTTTGAAATGGAATACCATATTCCATATCAAATCCATCATTCATTTTGAGTACTTTGGCTGAGTGTAGTGTTTCACACCTCCAAATTTGTTTTAGCAGTTGATTCAAAATTAAACTATTTCCTTTTTTTTTTCTTCAACTCTATTTACTTAATTATTAAATTAGTATACTGGGAGGGTAATCAAGTCATTTACAGGGAGATATGATATACAGATTAACTAGTGGTATCTGTATTTTCAGCAACTTTGCAGAATATATTATTATTGAAAGGAAAGTAAGGGTTGCTCTCTGTTTTCAATTCTTGATATAATTGTTTTCTTGTTTGCTTTTACTATTTTTGCAGACTTTTTTTTTTCTTTATTGAATATTATTTCAAATTAGTGTAGTAAATAATGTATATTATCTCCTTTGAAACCTGACTGATTTTACTCCCTGTTTATTCCTAAAATAGATTGCAATAAGTAATTCGTTTTAAATTTCATTTGATTTCTCAGTCATTTCTTTTATTAAGTTCGGAGGTGTAGTGGACAAAATTTTACAGATCAAAAAGTGAATTGTTAAAATGTCCTACATTAAGGTACACAACTCTGTAATGAGTAAGATGTATTATCAATTTTTTTATGTATGCATTATTTTTTTTTTTTTACCAACTGGCATGAAATCAGTTTCAATTGTTATTTTTCCAGATTCCTAACCTTAAATATTTTACTATCTGCTTCTTTGCTCTTTATTTGCACAAAGAATAACACATGCTAATTAAATGTTGTTAAAATTTAGCAGCAACTAAAGCATTTAATGTTAAGAGCAACCAGACTTAAGAGAATAGTTCTAAATCAGTTTAAGCCTGAACACTGCTTTGATTAATTTTTTTGTTCCTTTTAGATATAATATGAGCACTCAACATAAAATACCTAAAAATAGCATCTTCATTGAGAAATTCTGAAATCTGTATGCCACTTTTCAATAAATTTAAATGAAAGTCATTCTCTGAAGTATTTAGTCCACAGCAATATTTAAAAGTTTGATGGTAATCAGTATACATTTTTATTGGAAATTTTATGATTTAAAAAAATAATAATAAAATTGTAACCAAATTTACAAAAGCATAAATTTTTATTTTTTCCACTGAAGGATGCCATAACAAATTATACATATATTATTTGTAGCCCTCACTTTCATTTTGGAAAATAATGGAATGAAGGGTCCCCATGTAAAAATATAATTCAGTTGTTTCTGAACAGTGATATTTCATTTAATATCTGTTATTGCAAACATTAAAATAAAACAGTAATAAATTATGTTCAGTTGAAATTTCTATGGTCTCCCTACGGTTGTGTAAACATTGTAATATTCTCAAAGGATTTCAATTGTGATAAACTATCTCTTTTCATAGTCCATTTTCTATGTGTTACTGCATGCTGTATGTTTGTTCAGTGTTTACTGAAGTCGCTGTAATGTCTTGATGAGGATAAATTATACTGGAAATTATTATTTTATAGCTTTATGATGGTCAAATTGAGCTTAAAGGTTGTAATAGTGAATAGTCAGCTTCAGCTTCATTCATGATCCCTTCCTGTATTTCAAAATTTTCTTTAGTTTTGTATTAGCTCCAAGAATCTTGAGCTCTTTCATCTCTACCAGAGATCTGTGTTGGGAAATTTATACATTTTACATTATTCTTTTAACTAGACTGGAGGGTCTTGAAAAAATAAGTGACTTTATAATTTATAACACCATTTTGTTACTTTATCTTTTTAATTCTCACTTCAAATCCCGTAACTCGTTATTCCAAAGTCATAGTAAAAATACTTACTTTAAGGTTTTTTAAATCTCGTTTTAATTATCCCGTTCTACTTGATGTTCTTTGAAATTGTTTTCATTGTTTAAAATATTGTGTCTCTATTATTTTAGCGGTACTTTCTTTGAGTGCAACTTTTCTTTATCGGATCACAGCTCCAACAGATGAAAAAAAAAAACATGTTTGTAAATACACATTCTGTATAAGCTCCACCGAAACTAATATAATAAGCTCTAATATAATGTATTTTCTTGGCTTGGTTCTTGTTTATTTTATTTTTAAAAAGCCACCAGGTAAATAAAGTATTTACATAAGAACAGAATCAGTTTTATTTTTTTGCTTCTGTGTGACTAAATTTACTTTTTGTCTTAGAAAAAATGTGTTTACATGTATGCATATCTCTTGTCATGTTCTGCTAGAACATTTATAGTGACATAGTTCAAATAAACAAGCATCAGGTGGGGGGACACCAAATGTATTATAGTTTTAGTCCATTTGGCGTCATCAAGTAATCTTGACTAGGACATTGAATCCCACTGATTAGGACATTTAATCCCACCTTGAGACATTTAATTTTGATTAATTAATTTATTGGCTATGTGTATAATCCTATATTTTATTACAGTGGTCTTATATACCATATTTATCTAGACCAAGGATCTCAGGACAAATTGATGGTCCTTGGACAGCCACATTATTATGCATGGTCTTTTATTAAAATATGTCAAATGAAGGACTTTGACTGGCTTCAAGAGAGAGAGAGCTTGAAGCCCCCTGATCTATATCACTTGGTGACATTAAAGTGATTCCGAGAGAATATTTCCATTTTGTTTTATTTTCTAACTTAAAATATTTTATCATTTAGGTCATATTCCACTAAGAAATTAAATTTTGTGGCGTCTAATAAATGTGCTTTATAAATCGTACAGTTATTTTATGAATGTATATTGCTTTTGATCATGTTTATTTATGCAATATGAGAACATGGTAAAACTCTGTATGACAAATTAAATGTAAACTTGTTTCAATTTCTTGGAGTTGTTAATTTTTTAAAATTTTCATTGCTTGAGATTGAAAAAAAAAATGTTCCGCTAATTTTTTTTTTAGGATTGTTAATTGGCAAAATACAGAAATAAAAAGGGCATCTTTTATACATCGTTTGGGGTTATACAGTTATGTAATGGTGATGTTTTTTTAAATGGGGGAGGGGCTAAGGCCAAAGAAATGTGACATTACCGGTACATTAAAAAAGGATCTGTCAAAATTAAGTCACCGATTGGTTTTTTTTTTTTTTTTCGAATGGCAGAATTTGTTTTAAAAAAAAATTATCTTTCAAATTAAGCATAAAAGCATTTTCTGTACTTCATTTTAATTTTATAAATTCTAAAAAGATAAAAATCCACACCAAAACATTAAGTTTTAATTTCAAATTCCTTAAATTAGTTATATCAGTTAAAATGACAGGGTCCGACTAAATCAAAGTCCAACTTCACGATGCTGCCATGGATTAAAATATTGCCAAGTGAGCATCATATGCCAAGCGCCTACTCGTGTTGCTCTTTTGATCAAATTTGTATTTATAATAAAATCTGTTCAAAATTTAAATTTTTATATGAGGTCAGATATTTTAAAATGTCAATGCAACATAAATAGAGAACACCATGAAACAAAGTACTACCGGTACTCTGAAGACACCCCACCAATAAACAAAGTGGCTGCTTTCTCAAAGTTACATTTTATTACCATGTACAAATTTACAATAGATTTAAGCATAAGATAAATGTATATGTTCAGTAACATAATATCACACGTAACATATTCAATAAAGTTTATAACTCATTTAATGCGTAAAATTTATATATTTTGTTGATTCTTAAAAAAAAAAATTCCTAGATCAGGGGCAGGCGACCAGTCTTGTGAAAGACAACTGGATTAATTTGTACATCCCACATCTGTGCCCCAGGAACTTTGTAGCTCTAGAGATGTGGCTGTGGGGGATGTGGCTGTGAGATTGACACATGAGAATGCCATTACTCCAAACATTTTATTTTATGGGCCTTCCACTGAGGGGGTGTAATTTACAAAGTACTGATTGATAATAATAAATGATAATTGTTTATTTTCTTAGTAAAAGAAAAGTTTCAAGGTACTGGGTAATTTATAAGAAAGATAAATAAATTGTACCAGATGCCTATGCAAGTAATGACAAAATTCATCAAATTTTATTTCTTGTGGTACTATATACACATTTCACCACCAAACTGAGAATAAATAATCTATTATAACTACAATGACCAAACTGGGTTTATTTTGTTGCAATTAAGCATTGAGAAATATCACTGACAAGCTAACACCATCAACAAACAAGAAAACCAGAATTGCTGTAACTATTTCATAGCCAAACAAACACTGACCAGGTTTATATATCATTGCCAGCTCACACAACTCCTACATCTACCAGAAAAGAAAAGAAAAAAAAACAACAAGGCAAAATGGTGACTTTGAAAAACTGCATACAAATCAATACAACACACTTTAAAAAAAAAAGTCACACTCATACAAAAAACATTTCTGTCTTGGATTAGTCTTCAGAGATAAGGGCTGCAGAGTCAGAATGTTTTGTTTTGGGCTTCAACCTAAGAGTTGTTTTCAACATTGAATCAGAATGAATGAATGAAAAACAGCAATCAGAAATAGTTATCCTTTGATTTTTGTTGATATATTATCTTCAGCCTCAGAAAATAGTTTTCATTTGACTCTAACCAGAAAGGTTAAGCACAGCTATCTGATGGAAAACATGTGTATTGTTATTGACAGTAACAAATTCTTCCAATCAACAATTGTAGACCAACAGCATTAACATAGTAAGATTATAGATGGTTGCAAGTTTTCTACAAGCATCCTTAAAATATATATTTAAAAAATAAATTAAAGTATGTTTTGACATTGACCATTAAATCAATCATGCAACACTGTAAAAACATGTTCTACTTTCTATATCAGGCCTTCAAACAAAAAATTCAATGCATTTTTACAGCAACATTGCTTCAACTAAATCCCCAGCATGCAAGTCCAATATATTATTGAATGGGAATAGTGTGTAGCAGAAAATCTTTTTTAATTGAACAATAAGAGTAATGGACTAAGGATCTCAGCACAACCACTACTTCCTACAATTCATCAGCACAATCAAATTACAACTTCAAACAACCCATCAGCACAATCAATAACAACTTCCAACAATCCAGATGCACAATGAAGCACAACTTCCAACAATTCATGGCTTAACATTGACAGGGGTATACACAACCTGTGTGGCATGCATCGAAGGGTGGGTTTCCATTTGAATGCAGCATTTAAAAACTTGAGGATTAATTTTTCAATGTAGCCCTTCTCCTACAACTTACACACCAATAGCTCTACTTCTATGATCAAGTAGGGACCATTCTAATAGGAGAGAATTTTTCACCAAGCAAACCTTTCACAAGGAGTTTACATCGAGACTTCCCGAAAGACCAATTTAGAAAGTTTTAAAACCTTTTCACATGGTTTAAACTTTTCAGAAATTAGTTTCATCTTACACCAAAAAAAAAGGGTGAAGATTATATGACATTTTCAAAAGGAGTATTATAAACGCAAACATATCATTAAGTTTAATATGCAATAGCACGTATGATGGTATATTAACTTATGCTTCATAAATAAGGATGACACACATGGTTGAAAGTATTGCTTGCCGTCGTGATCTGGTCATCCTCTTGTGATCAGAAGTATAAACATTTTTTTTCCCAAGGACCCCAATTAAGAAAACGATGTTGGCTAAAATAAAAATGTTGTACCCTTGGGTGTATCAAATTAATGATAAATTAAATTGAGCCCAGGGAAGGAGATAGAGGACTTTTGAACTAAGGGCTGCACTGTGTCAGCAGTCAACACAAGATCCAACTTTTGAACATGGATTGTGTGATAGTTGTAGTTACTTCACACACATGAAATGGAAAAACCAAAACCAACGTTTGGACCATATGATCTGATCAAAACCAGCAGTGACAAACAGAGATTTTTATTTGCACTACTTTCTACAGACTGCATTGAAGTAAAGCAAGTCTTCAGTGGAATGAAGGGGATGGGGAGGGTGAAGACAAACAATAGTTATTGAGACATAATCTACAGGATCATGACCAAAGCATAACTGTCTAGATTCACCACTCAACCTAAGGTCAGACAGGCTGCTCACTCACACTTCCATTACTGTCTAGATTCTCCACTCAACCTAAGGTCAGATAGGCTGCTCACTCACACTTCCATTACTGTCTAGATTCTCAACTCAACCTAAGGTCAGATAGGCTGCTCACTCACACTTCCATTACTGTCTAGATTGACCACTCAACCTAAGGTCAGATAGGCTGCTCACTCACACTTCCATTACTGTCTAGATTCACCACTCAACCTAAGGTCAGATAGGCTGCTCACTCACACTTCCATTTCTGTCTAGATTCTCAACTCAACCTAAGGTCAGATAGGCTGCTCACTCACACTTCCATTACTGTCTAGATTCACCACTCAACCTAAGGTCAGATAGGCTGCTCACTCACACTTCCATTGCTGTCTAGATTCACCACTCAACCTAATGTCAGATAGGCTGCTCACTCACACTTCCATTACTGTCTAGATTCACCACTCAACCCAAGGCCAGATAGGCTGCTCACTCACACTTCCATTGCTGTCTAGATTCACCGCTCAACCCAAGGTCAGATAGGCTGCTCACTCACACTTCCATTACTGTCTAGATTCTCAACTCAACCTAAGGTCAGATAGGCTGCTCACTCACACTTCCATTACTGTCTAGATTGACCACTCAACCTAAGGTCAGATAGGCTGCTCACTCACACTTCCATTACTGTCTAGATTCACCACTCAACCTAAGGTCAGATAGGCTGCTCACTCACACTTCCATTACTGTCTAGATTGACCACTCAACCTAAGGTCAGATAGGCCTCTCACTTACATTAACAAAGAAACATTGGGAATGACTTTAACATAACCTTTCTGTGGTAGGGAATGACCCCAACAAAGGCGTATGCTTTAAATAGGGGAGAGACAAATAGTAAGGGGGGGGGGGAGAGAGAAGGACAGTGATATACTTCCAACTTTTCAACATAAATTACTTTAACAAATGAAATGCTCATTTCTTCTAAATCATTAACATATTCTCCAATAAATGGAATTGGAGACACGTGCCACTCCATTGAAATCATCTATTTCTAAAAGGCATTAGAATAGTGGTTCTTAACCTACCTAATGCAGAAACCCTTTAATACAGCTACGCATGTTGTGGTGATCCCCAACCATAAATTATCTTCCTTGCTTCTTCATAAATATGTGTTTTCTGATGGTCTTAGGCGACCCCTGTGAGAGGTTCGTTTGAACCCTGCATTAGAGGTATTAGTGGTGCCCCACCACTGAAATCATCTATTTCTAAATGGCATTATAGGCCTGCGCACCACAATTGAAATCATCTATTCCTGGAATGTTACAGAGTGATGTAATTTAAAATGCTAGATAATTATTGAAAAACCCAACCTATTGAACAATGCAAAACTATTGAACCAAACCAAGTTGTTGTCAACATGAGATTATGCTGTTGATGACTTAGTAGAACAGATCAAGAGTTTGAGCAAAGCTGCCAATCAAGCACAAGAATTACCAAAAATATAATGCATATCACTCAAAATAACAAAGTATTTAAACAATACTGGATACACTGGACATACATTTAATAGATTGATGTAAAGAATTAAAAAGTTGGTGATTTCCTCGGGGAAATGGCATCTTAATTTAAAATTATGATTGGACAGTAAAAAAAAAGAAGATAATATTTAGGTTTGGAAATTTGTGCAAATGACATCTCTGAGCTTAAAAGCATCAGTGCACTGATTGCAGCCCAAACACTTTAGTGTACAACTATCCTAGTTTAAGTGGTTAGTACCATGTCCTAGTTTAAATATCCCAGTCTAAGTGGTTGA